TTAGATGGATAGATAGATAGATAGATAGATAGATAGATAGATAGATAGATAGATAGATAGATAGATAGATAAACGCGTATGTGTTAAGAATTCAAAAGTAGTTTTGAAGCTACTACCTTCTGACTTGAATGGCTTAGATAGGAAGAAACTGAGATAGATAGATAGATAGATAGATAGATAGATAAACGCGTATGTGTTAAGAATTCAAAAGTAGTTTTGAAGCTACTACCTTCTGACTTGAATGGCTTAGATAGGAAGAAACTGAGATAGATAGATAGATAGATAGATAGATAGATAGATAGATAGATAGATAAACGCGTATGTGTTAAGAATTCAAAAGTAGTTTTGAAGCTACTACCTTCTGACTTGAATGGCTTAGATAGGAAGAAACTGAGATAGATAGATAGATAGATAGATAGATAGATAGATAAACGCGTATGTGTTAAGAATTCAAAAGTAGTTTTGAAGCTACTACCTTCTGACTTGAATGGCTTAGATAGGAAGAAACTGAGATAGACAGATAGATAGATAGATAGATAGCTAGATAGATAGATAGATAGATAAACGCGTATGTGTTAAGATATCAAAACTAGTTTTGAAGCTATTACGTTCTGACTTGAATGGCTTAGATAGGAAGAGACTGAGATAGATAGATAGATAGATAGATAGATAAACGCGTATGTGTTAAGATATCAAAACTAGTTTTGAAGCTATTACGTTCTGACTTGAGTGGCTTAGATAGGAAGAGACTGAGATAGATAGATAGATAGATAGATAGATAGATAGATAGATAGATAGATAGATAGATAGATAGACGCGTATGTGTTAAGATATCAAAACTAGTTTTGAAGCTATTACGTTCTGATTTGAAGAGACTGAGATAGATAGATAGATAGATAGATAGATAGATAGATAGATAGATAGATAGATAGACGCGTATGTGTTAAGATATCAAAACTAGTTTTGAAGCTATTACGTTCTGATTTGAATGGCTTAGATAGATAGATAGATAGATAGATAGATAGATAGATAGATAAACGCGTATGTGTTAAGATATCAAAACTAGTTTTGAAGCTATTATGTTCTGACTTGAATGGCTTAGATAGGAAGAGACTGAGATAGATAGATAGATAGATAGATAGATAGATAGATAGATAGATAGATAGATAGATAGATAGATAAACGCGTATGTGTTAAGAAATCGAAACTAGTTTTGAAGCTACTACGTTCTGACTTGAATGGCTTAGATAGGAAGAGACTGAGATAGATAGATAGATAGATAGATAGATAGATAAACGTATGATGTTAAGATAATCAAAACTAGTTTTTAAAGCTATTACGTTCTGACTTCAATGGCTTAGATAGGAAGAGACTGAGATACATAGATAGATAGATAGATGGATACATAGATAGATAGATGTGGGCGATCATTGTTTTTCCTATTCTTTGTAGCGCTTAGCAATATGTGTCTCTTCACTGTCCCTCCCACTTCAAGTTCTGCCATCTATTTGCTCACGCACGTCATGTAGGTTATTTGCAGTTCCTCTCGTGTCAATGATAACGTATGAAAGGGAGCAGCTAGACGAACACACAGATTACTTGATGCATATAATGGTAAAGGCGTGCTTTTAAAGAGTCACACTTTTCGGAAGATCTGATAAATCAGGCAACATGTTCAACAAAAGCTCTGCATAGCCCATATCACGTTTTACTATAACGGAGTTTAAAATCTCTGGGACACTGTTGACATCTAAATATAGTTCACGTAATTCCTATGGAAAGATATTGTTTGAATTTAGATTCTTCTAGACTGGCTACCATTCAAGGCAAGAATATAGATTCATGCCTTTTCCAAGAGAATTAGCACGAAACAGAATTGACTAAAGTTTGAAATAAATAAACGTTAGACTAATGTTACCCAACTCTCTCTCCCCCCTCTCTCTCCAGTTATATATATATATATATATATATATATATATATATATATATATATATATATATATATATATATATATATATATATATAAATTTGTAGCCTCTGTCTTCCTGTTTGTTATCGAATACTTCCTAGTGTTCAGGAGATATACACACATAACTATATATATTCAGAAACTACATTATCCAAGGTACTTGGATAATTATATTTCATTTTGATTAATGGTGCCCCCCGCCTCACTGAATTTTGTTTTCTTTTGATTGAAATTAAATTTAAATTTCAACAAGGGAATGACTCTTATTCAAAATATAGGAGAAAACCAGAAGTTGCAGGTCACATCATTTTGATCAAATTAGGTCCCTTTCATTTAAATTTAATTTAATTTTAAACAAGGGAATAACTCCTAGGGTACTTAGATAAGTGTATTTCATTTTGACTAATGGGGGTCCACTGTGGCACAAACCACCACTACTGTAAACTTTTCCTTTTTGATTGAAATTAAATTTAGATTTGAACAAAGGAATGACCCCTTTACAAAATATAGGAGAAAGCCAGAAGATGGAGGTCATAACGTCAAGATCAAAATGTGACAATATGGATGTCAAGTCGAGCAAGACACCACCAGTCAGTGAATAATGCCTTGCAATACATAATTGTTGCGACAATTCAACTATCATATCAATGTTGAAATCTTCTCATCTATTCATTCAATCAAGTAATGCATCAAATACATATCAAACGGGTCTGATCAAACATTTTTTTCACAAACCTCATCTGAATTTTTTTTCCCTCCAATTTAAATTAAATTTGAATAAGGGAATGACTTTTATTCAATGCATTAATATGCAATATTAATTAAGATTTGATTATAGTGGTGAAGGTTTTGTGCAGAACCATCCACACTTTTTGAAGGGCCGAATACAAAGACTTGGTGAACTACTTGCCAAAGGATTCCCAAACGGACCTCCGCAGGTTTTGAATACAGAGTTGTCTTTCTCCTAGACCAGTTGCCACGCAAGGCTATAGAGCCCAACCTGTCCTGCTGTTTAGCTCAAGGAGAAGAAGAAGTTTCACACTTTTCCCAACGCACGTAAGTGAATGTAACATGATTCGACTGGAATTCGAACTCGGCTTTCCGATTTCTCAATCCAATTCATTACTCCACCGTGGTATGTATATATATATATATATATATATATATATATATATATATATATATATATATATATATATATATATATATATATAAAGAAAAAACTGCAAATTTTTTTTTTTGATTATAATGTAGATTTTTTTAAAATATATATTATACTTTATTTTCCATATTATTGCTACACGAGTTTCCTGTCTTTCGAGCTTCATCAGGCAAAGAGTGAATATTTCCACATATTATAAAAAAGAATTAATTTCCCTTGTTTTTCGATGTTTAACTGTTGTCTTTATTATTATGGATTATTTACCATTTTATAAATAACGATAAAAACAAGTTTCTCATTCATATTTTATAAAAAATATATCGATATTGCTGCATGAAAGACATTAATGGAAAAGGTAATTTTTATATTCATAATTGCAATTACTCGTCGTTACCTGTTTATTTGAATGTTCATGTTCGACAGGCATTTTCTATAAATTTAAGAATAAAAGAATTAATTTAATATTTATTACTTTATGAATTGATAAATGATAAACAATACTTTTTGTTTAGTTGGTTCGTATTTTTGGTATTTACATATTTAGAATGTTTTAAATATAGAATTATTCTTGTAAATAAACAATACACAGACAGTGCTTATGATTTTTGTTGTAAATTCTCAAAGAACAAATAAAATGTAAAAATTCATTTTCATATGTTTTTTTTTTAATTGATTTCTTCCCAAGCAGGCCATTAAAGCCACTAAGAAACAAGGGTTTAGTGGGTGTAGAAAAATTAGAAACAGAAACATTAATAATGACCGGAAAGTGGAAAGAGTAATCGGGAGGACAGAAGATAGCGATTGACATTGCATTTAAATTTTTACAGAGTTGGCTGGAAAGAGTCTAATCATCAAAAAAACAAAAACAATAAACATTGCCGAGGAAGTGAAGATAGTTAAAATAATAGCGATGTCAAGAGAAAACCGTCCTTTTGATATATCGATGTTTATTTTCGCTTTGAACAGATCTGAAAGATGGAAAAGTGATATTTTCATTCTTAGATTTTACAAATGATGAAAACAGCAATATAAAACAAGTATTTGATTCTTAAATATTAATATTAAATAACAGGATGAAGCATTTATTGTGATTATTATTATTATTGATATATTATTATTATTATATTATTATTGTTAATGATATTATGTAACTGCATGAAACATTTAACGGAGTTGTGCATTTTTGCTCGAAGTCACCACAATTTTTAGCCCGTTTTCTCCTTGCGATGTATTTCAAGAAGATATAGAACTTCGGCTTATACTTCCAACTTTATTTACAGGCAAATACTGCACAAAATACTTAACCTCATGATTCCTAGGAAATAATAACTTCATTTATAATAACGTCATTAGTAATAACTTCATTAATCCTAAATTTGCCAGTCAGTCATTTAATCTGGAATGATGAAATAATGATGCCCGTATGGGCAATAATTAAATCATCGACTTGTGATACCCACTGATAACCAGTGTCGCGTCAAATGATGATGGCCGCTATTTAATTGTTAAAACATACATTTATATAGTTTGATATGATTTATAACAATAAGAATTTTGCTTCTGGCAAATAAATTTAACAATTATCACGTTCGATCTCGTTTTCATAACCGTTCCTTAAAATTCGACCTTTGCCGAATAATTTGACTTATATATTTAAGAAACAATCGGTTTAGTTTGATGATTTTTAAACTGTTCTTGCATGTCCTTGCAAGCGTGTTTGATACTAATTAAATTTACCATAATTGGTCCCAATTTGAGCTTTATAAATAACTCCCTTGTTTCAAAACTAAGCTCGACTTAGTAGATACATTTAAGAAAAGGTAAGAATGTTCTAATTGATCCGCTGACCTCATGACCAAAAGAGCACTGTCCCCACCACTGAGCCACCGATCGACAGAAACACCCACGGGGACATTCATACCACTATCGGCGGTTCAACTTTAGTGAATATGCGATAATTTAATGGATCTCTCACTTTGAGATTAGACGAGCCAAAATAACAGCCACTTAGTCTTTTCGGTATTCGCCCTGCAATTACTTGGCGTAAGCGGCCTTCATGAAATAAATGGCATCCAGGTAGTCTGCTCATGTCCGTGCACCTCTGGCTAGAAGCCCATGTTAAATGGGAGGTCATGGGCTGAAAAAGCAACCGGTAATATTTCATCGAGTTATCGTCTGCTCTTTTAAAATTGAGTTCAGGGAAATAGAGAGAAAAAGCCAAGGTCGAAATAAACAGATTCCGACTCGAATCAGCTCCAACGAATCTCTTACTCTCAAACCGATTCGTTATTATACTCTTGCCATACGTTTCCACAATTATCTTCCCTTGGCTGGCGTCAGGCCAAGAAGAAAGTTACATTTATCTAAAAATGCAATTACAGCCTCTACTGTCACCGTCTCGTAATTCTAACCAAGCTGTTTCTCCTATCGAAATTTTTTAACCTTCGCACGCACGCACACACAGAGCTACACACAGCCACCCCTACACATATATGTATATATAATTTTTTCATGACTATTAGGCAGTTCATATCAAATTCTCTTTTGGTCAAATAACTTAAACGCATCTTTTATAAAGTATAGACCAGACTCTACAGTAGTGGTAGCAATGGTTTAAGCCGTGTTTAACGTTTTATGGAAATAATACCATTAAGTTAATCGGTTATATAAGTTCACACACCTCTTTAGCATAGGTTGAATTGCTGCTATAAACTTTCTATTTAAATATATCCATTGTTGATTTTATAACCTCTGTAGATAAGTATCATTCTTAGTGATAGCAATGTGTCTTTCATTTTTTTAATCATTTTCAAAGCAAGTAAGGCACTAAAAGCCACTAGAATGCCAAAGGCTAGTGAGATTGAAAGAAACAGAGAGAACAATAAAAGAACAGAAGTTTAGGAGACAGACGATGAGCATTGCATTTGAATATAAATTGAAGGTGGTAGTTGACAGGAACGCGATGTCAGAATAGTGTTCCACGAGACTTCCACGAGAAGTGACAGATAAGAAACTATTAGCACAAAACTTATTGTCACATGTAGCTAGTACCTCGGAAAAATGATAGGACCTAACTGCTAATTTTGTCTTCTTTTTCTTCTTATGCTTCTTCTTTTTTTCTTTCTTTTTATTTTTCTTTTTCTTCTTGTTTTTTCTTCTTGTTTTTTCTTCTTTTTTTCTTTTTCTTCGTTTTCTTCTTTTTTCGATTTCTTTTTTCTTCCTTTTCTTATTTTCTATTTCTTTTTTCTTTTTTTTTCTTCTTCTTCTTCATCTTCATTTTCTTCTTCTTTTTCTTTTCT